AGGCTAGGCAGCTGGACAGCAGGTTCCAGATCTCAGGAGGGAGAGCTAGACAAAGAGTTTGTGTCAAGACTGGGACAGTGGCTGCACCCTTCAAATACCTGGGGACCCAGCGGCTGGGTCCTTTCACAGCAGTCTGGTGGGCGGCTGGCAGGGGATACCTTGTTGGATCTGTGACACCCATTCCCCTCCCAAGGCTGTGAGGCACCTTGCTACCTGAGTGAGAGGAAATCTTGTTTGTGCCTTGCTGGGGGTCAGCTCCCCAGCTCCACCTGCAATGAGCAACACAAGAACTCTCTTCCAGGCCTTGCCATCGCTCTGCCAGTTAGCGACTGCCACTGCAGCTTAGTGTCCTCTGGGAGTGTCTGGCCGCTGGGCACACGTGGTATTCACAGATTCGCCGTTTCCAAAGAAGCGGCACGCACATCCCAGCTGATCTGTTCCACCTCTGCTCACCGCTCCACTTCACGCACAGCGCTGAGACGTGTTTGTGATGTTACACTCCATTATGTTTTATGGAAATACAATGTAAATGGAATATGCTTTATGCAAAAGGTCTCTTGTAAGGGATCATTACAAAGGTTATAACCTACTGAATATATTCCTCCTATTTTTATGCACGTATCATTTTTGTATCTGAAGCTAGAAATGAGAAGTATAACTCTGAGGTCCTATTGTAATTATGCAAAGAGTGGGCCATTAATGGTGGTTTAGAATCTTGATGGCTCCCATTGACTAGGACAATTGGTTGTAAATGGCTCTGTTTACTTGAAACGTTGCTGTGTATGTGTGTGCCAGCCTGTGGGTAATGAAGAATGAGGTCTCACAGGACATGTGACCAGGTCATATGATACTGGAATACACCTTAAATCTGATACTTTTCCATTTAGAAGGAGGGGTGGGGACCCAGAGAGACAAAAGATTCCCGCCTTGTCCCAAAAGGGGGTGGAGCAGGACAAAGCGGGTCCAAGTCATGAGAAAGCCCCTGCTTACCACCTAAGATGCCTGCTGGAACTGCCAAGAACTGTACTGGGGAAAGGATTGGGCCCAGACTAGGAAGGAGTCTAGTCTGTGAAAGAAGCTTATTGGAACATCTCTGAGAGTGAGATTTACCTGTAATCAGTTTCTTAATGTATTAGACTTGGACTTGTTTCAGAGTGGTAGCCGTGTTAGTCTATATCAGCAAAAAGAACGAGGAGTACTTGTGGCACCTTAGAGACTAACAAATTTATTAGGGCACAAGTTTTCGAAAGCTTATCCCCTAATAAATTTGTTAGGCTTAGACTTTTGTTTTTTGGTTTATTTTGCTTGGTAAATTACTTTGTTCTGTCTGTTATTACTTGGAACCACTTAAATCCTACTTTTTATACTTAATAAAATCACTTTTCTTTATTAATATACTGAGAGTAAGTGATTAATACCTGGGGGAGCAAACAGCTGGGCATATCTCCCTATCAGTGTTATAGAGGGCGGACAATTTATGAGTTTACCCTGTAGAAGCTTTATACAGAGTAAAACGGATTTATTTGGGGTTTGGATCCCATTGGGAGCTGGGTGTCTGGGTGCTGGGGACAGGTGACCTGCTGAGCAGTTTTTGGTTAAAGTCTGCAGCGTTGCGGGCGTGGCCCAGACCTGGATGTGTGTTGCAGCAGGCTGGCACATCTGGCTCAACAAGGCAGGGTTCTGGAGTCCCAAGCTCGTAGGGAAAACGGGCTCAGAGGTAATTTCAGCACATCAGGTGACAGTTCCAAGGGGGTCTCTGTGACCGAACCCATCACAGTGTTGATAGTGGAATCCCCCATAAGTTTGCTTAACAAACCCAGAGATTCAAGGAGTAGCAAGTAGAAGTTGCGGGAACAAATGGTTCCATAGAAAATGAAATCAAAACATGCATTCTACAGCCTAGGCTGAATTAACTAGATACTCTCCTGTCTGGTAGAGTAACGCTGACCCCAAATCCCTGCAGCTGGCTGCGACCGCCCCTTCATGAGACATGCACGCTCTCAGCTTGCGTCCTTGCTGAAGGACCCTGGGGGTTTCCTTGCACCCCAAGATACGCCAGACGAATCCTTTGTCTGTCTTCAGAAACAGGATACTGCCCTGCTGTTTGTTTCATCCTGTAAGTTTCCTCTCTTGTATATTTCACAAGCTTTCATTCTGCCCCTGACTCAGTATGCAACCAGACATACATTATAGAATCAGGATACACATGCGGTCAGCCAGGGAATGAGGTGTCTCTAATTTCCTGCCTGGAAGGAACACTTCCAAGGAATGTCACTTTCCGGTAACCTTTTTGAACCCCATGACCGTAAGAACATAATTTTCAGTCTTGATACATAACTCCTTCAATATGATCCATACGGATATCTCACAAGGATTATGATAACCAGGGGGCTTCTGGCTCTTGGGTCGATCTCACGTGCCATCTGTCAGTGAAGTGTTATACATATATCTAATGCAGGAGGTCCCTGTACAACCCGATGTGCCCCTCGTGTCGTCTGCGAGTTGGTAGTACCGGGGCCCTGGGCACAAGTATCTGTAACCATTAAACCATCTTTTCCCCGGAAGAAAAAATAAACAGAGCCCTCCTCTGCAAGACTCGCATCCACAACCAATGTTACTAGCAGCCTGGAGTCAATGGGGCCAGAGCCCCAGCTGGTGTGAATGGGGCTTAGCTCCACTGAAGTCAATGAATCCATATTCCCAGCTGGTGTGACTTGGCCATAGCTCCATAGGGGTCAATGAATCCCTATCCCCAGCTAGTGTCAATTTACTTCAGTGGAGCTATGCAACTTATAGGAACTAAGGATCCATGGCTGTAATTTCCTTCTACTCAAACAATGCCATCAATTGTGTGTGTTGGTAGGATATGTCATGCTCCAGATGCCAAGACCTGTTAGGAAACAGGGTTTAGTCCCTTTATATAGTCAATTCCCTTGCAGCAGTAGGTACAACATTAGGGTGAGATTTTGATCTCAGTGACCCCAGTGTAAATCTGGAGTGACCCCACTGACACCAACATAAGAACATTACAATGGCCCTAGTGGGTTAGACCAAAGGTCCATCCAGCCCACAATCCTGTCTTCCGACAGTGGCCAGTGCCAGGTGCCCCAAGGGAATGAACAGAACCGGGAATCATCAAGTGATGCATCCCCTGTCACCCATTCCCAGCTTCTGGCAAACAGAGGCTAGGGACACCGTCCCTGCCCATCCTGGCTAATAACCATTGATGGACCTATCCTCCATGAATTTATCTAGTTCTCTTTTGAACCCCGTTATAGTTTTGGCCTTCATAACATCCTCTGGCAAAGAGTTCCACAGGTTGACGGTGTGTTATGTGAAGAAAATACTTCTGTTTGTTTGTTTTAAACCTGCTGCCTATTCATTTCATTTGGTGACCCCTAGTTCTTGTGTTATGAGAAGGAGTAAATGACACTTCCTTATTTACTTTCTCCACACCAGTCATGATTTTATAGACCTCTATCATATCTCCCCTTAGTTGTCTCTTTTCCAAGCTGAAAAGTCCCAGTTTTATTAATCTCTCCTTATACGGAAGCCGTTCCGTACCCCTAATCATTTTTGTTGTCCTTTTCTGAACCTTTTCCAATTTCAATATATCTTTTTGGAGATGGGGCGACCACATCTGTACCCGATATTCCAGATGTGGGAGTACCATGGATTTATATAGAGGCAACATGATATTTTCTGTCATATTATCTATCCCTTTTCTAATGATTCCCAACGGAATTAGATTCTGATCTTAGTGATCATGGTGTAAATCTGGAGTTACCCCACTGACACCAATGGAATTCGATTCTGATCTTAAGTGACCCTGGTGTGGATAATTTGGAGTGATGCCAGTGGCAGATGCATCTTGGATGGTCAGAATGGGCCAAGAATATGGGTTAGCAGAGGCCAGCCGGAGCTGACCCAAGATAAGTCCATAGTGTGAATGAATGAAAGTAGAACACAGAGTCCATGGATGGGGGCTAGCTACAATTCTCCCACCAGGGAAGTGAGGAAGACCAGGGCTGGCACCTTTATGGGATGTGACCAGGGTGGGTCCAGCTGGGTACATGGATCAGCAGATGGTTGAGAGCTAGGGAAAGCGAATGGGAGGATGGCAAAGTAGCTGAGAAGCAGCCAGACCTTCAACAAGGGGTCTTAGCTGGTGGGAATGGAGAGGAGCAGGTGGACTCTGGAGAGCACGTGGTGGAGAGCCTGCTCCTTGGCCAAGTGGAGCTCTTGTCTGTCCTTGGCTGTAACCGCCTTGCCGAACTGCCCAAGCCTGTAGACATGCCGGGACTCATCCCAATCCACGCTCACCTTAGCCTTATTATGTAGCTCGCATAGGACAGCAGGGATGGGAATGTGGGCGGTTGCCTGGGGCCCTCTCATCTCACTCCCATCTTCCACTGCAGATCCAGAAAGCTGTGGGAGTGGCTCATGGGACAACACCCGGGCGATGTGTGGGAGATGCCACAGGGCTATTGGCTCATGACTAGGAGCCAGGACTCCTGGCTTCTACTGATGAGTCTGGGAGGGGAGCGGGGTCTAGTGGGTTAGCACTGCAGGGGCTGAGAGGCACAACGCCTGGGTTCTCTTCCTGGGCTCACTGGATGACATGGGACCAGGCACTTCCCTTTGTTGGACTTCCTTTCCCTATGTGTGTTAGGTAAGGCCGATGATGCCTAGCTAACGCCCATAACAGTTCTTATTAATGGGTATGAACAATAATAACTCTCACGTGTGACACACTGTAAACAGATCCTGCCCTGTAGAGACAGAGATGGGGACACTCGGAGTCCTTTAGCTTGACTCTTCCCTTATGTCCTTTTTGCCTTGTCTCTTCCCCGTGTCAGAAAGAGAACCCAGGCGTCCTGCCTCTCACTCTCCCTGGGCTAATGACTAGAATTCACTCCCTTCACTGAGCTGGAGACAGAGTTTTGATCCTCAGGCCCCCTTGTGACAATTAAGCTTCCCTCCCCTCCCGCAGCCGGAACCCAGGAGTCCTGACTCCCAGCTCTTCTCTGCTCTAACCACTGGACCCCACTCCCCTCCCAGAGCTGCAAACTGAACCCAGGAGTCCTGACACCCAGCCCTTCACTGTAACCACTAGACCCCACTCCCCATTCCTGTCCACCCCTCCCTAAACAGTGCCCCCATTTAGAGTCAATCATAGTGCTTACAGTAGATGGTTGGATGTTGGCAGACCAAAGTGCTGGGTTCTATCCCTGCTCTGAAAGGGGAGGGGAGGCTAGTGGTTAGAGCGGGGGGGGGGGCTGAGAGCCAGGACTCCTGGGTTCCATCCCCAGGTCTGGGAGGGAAGAGGGGTGTACTGGTTAGAGCAGGAGGGGCTGGGAGCCAGGACACCTGGGTTCCATTCCCAGCTCTGGGAGGGGAGTGGGGTCAAATAATTAGAGCGGGGGGGGGAAGGGGGCTGGGAGCCAGGACTCCTGGGTTCCATGCCCAGCTCTGGGAGGGAAGCAGGGTGTAGTGGTTACAGCTCAGAGGCCCTGTTTTCTGTGGTGGTTTCATCACCCCTATCCCCGCTTGACGCATTGCCTGCCTGTAGGAGGCAGCTCCCCAAATATCCTGTCCGGCTCTGTCGAAACAGGGAGAGACTCTCCCAGCAACCAGCTTCCTACACGCCCCAACCTGGGAACCCATGGCCCTGCCCCGTGCAGCTGGGGATAAAAGCCATCCCCTTGAGCAAGGCTGCAGCCGCCTCTGGCCCGTGGTGCACAGCATCCCGGGGATAGCTACAGCTACCTGGCTCCCCCGCGAGATACCTGGCGAGATGCAGCTGCAGCAGGGATGGGTCCCACTCGGGCTGAAATTAACCATCCTACTGGCACTGTGCCTGCATCTGCCAGGTAGGTACCTGCCCGTGGGAAAGGCAGATCTGGGGGGATCCCTGGGCAAACAGCTGCACAGTTATTTGGGGGGCACTGCTGATTAGGCAGGTGGCTGAACAGAGAGGGATATTTTGGGGTGTCATTGGGAGGAGATTGGTTAAAGCAGCGGGGGCTGGGAGTCAGGACTCCTGGGTTCTATCCCCTGCTCTGGGTGGGGAGTGGGGTCTAATGGTTAGAGCCGGGGGGGGGAGTGGGAGTCAGGACACCTGGGTTCCATCCCCAGCTCTGGGAGGGAAGAGGGGTGTAGTGGTTAGAGCAGGGGGGAGTCAGGCCACCTGGGTTCCATCCCCAGCTCTGGAAGGGAAGAGGGGTGTAGTGGTTAGGGCAGGGGGGGCGGGGAGCCAGGACACCTGGGTTCCATTCCCAGCTCTGGGAGGGAAGCAGGGTGTAGTGGTTAGAGCAGGGGAGGCTGGGAACCAGGATTCCTGGGTTCTATCCACTGCTCTGGGTGGGGAGTAGGGTCTAGTGGTTAGAGTCAGAGGGACTGCAAATCAGGGGTCCTCTATTCTAACAGGTTGGGACATTCTGGTGTGCCGGACACTGATCAGGGAGCTGGTTAGCACTGAATGATGTTTTGGGTTGCCAGTGGGGTGGAAAAACTGGGTCAGCAGCTTTGTGTGTTTGTGTGTGTGGGGGTGAGGAGCTTAAGATATTTTGGGGTGTCACTGGTCTGCTAGCACTGGATAAATAGCTACAGTGAATCATAGATGGGGTGCATATCTGGGGGTGTCTCCTGGGTTCAGATATTAGCAAGGGAGCTGAGTGTGGAGAGGCTGACCCGGGAGAAATAGTGTGGGGCGTCAAGGAGACAAATAGTAGTTGAGCAACTGGGCGGGGTGTATTCTGAGGTGACGCACCGCAGGGAGGGATATTTTGGGAGGCAGGTTCGTGTGCTGGGAGGTTCCTAGCCGGCCGGGACATCTGGGATGTCAGTGGGGTACAAACATTAGGGAGAGGGTATGGACTCTGGGGAGCGGGCGATGGGGTGGTGAAGGGGGGGGTGAGATAATCTTGGGGTGTCTGATGAGCAGGATTTAAGGATTTTAGCAGGGCTCGTTCCCATTGGCAGAGACAGTGCCATGTTGCTGGAGGGAATGTCTCCAACAGCCGGTGTTATAGCAAGATACATCTGAGGGCTGGCAGCAGGCGTGGCCCAGTTTGATATCTCCTTCCCTGATCCGGATGCAGGAAGGAAGGCAAATAGCCATGCCAATGTGACAGGACTGGGAGGAGATGCTAATACCAGCAAGGGAAAATAACCCGAAGGAATTCAGCAAGGGGGGGAATCACTGAAGGGGATTTGAGGCAGCTAATACAGCTAGGGGAATAATTCCACTGGCGGCAGAAACCTTGGCAAGCAGGAGCGGCCGGGAGAGAACAAGTGTAGCAAGGAAAGTAAGGCATGGCGGGCCTAGAATGTTATTATTAACACACACATTTATTAGGTAGAGCTTACGGCCCAGCCAAGGTTTGTAGATTCATAGATTCCCAGGCCGGAAGGGACCATTATAATAATATAGCCTGACCGCCTGGGTAACTGAGGCTAGAGAAACTGCCCTCAAATAATTCCTCGAACAGATCTGTTAGAAAAAACATCTATAACTCTCCAGGGCAGGGGAAGCATCCCTATGCCTTACCTAGCAAATACCTGCACCTGTAGGCTACGCCTCTTGAGATACAGACTGTCAGTGATGGGACAAGGTTCTCATGGTTCATTACTCGCACCGTTAAAAATGTGCACCGTATTCCCCATCTGATTTTGTCTAGCTTCAACATCCAGCCATCGGATGGTGTTAGACCTTTCTCTGCTAGGCTGAAGAGCCCATGGATTAAATATTTGTTCCCCACAGACTGCGATTAACTCACCCCTTTCCCTTCTCTTGGTTAAGCTAAATAGATGGAGCTCTTTCCCTGCAAGGCAGGTTTTCTAAACCTTTAATCATTCTCGTGGCTCTTCTCTGACCCCACCCCAATTTACCAACATCCTTCTTGGACTGTGGCCACTAGAACTGGGCACAGGATTCCAGCAGCAGTCGCCCCAGTGCCAAATATAGAGGTAAAATAACCTCTCGGATTCTATGCGAGATTCCCTTGTTTATGCATCCCAGGGTTGCATTAGCTGTTTGGGCCACAATGTCACACTGAGAGCCGGGCCCATCGTGCCAGGAGCTGTACAAACACAAAATCATAGCTAGAACCTGCCCCAAACATGACGTTAATAACCTAAATACCTTTGAAGAGTTGGGCCGTCCAATCTTATCGGACAACCTTGTCTCCCCCTTGTGGTCTCTCTAGGTGTGACACCCAGGAGCTTTCAGCTTCCCGAAGGAGGAAACCTGGGTCGGTCCCGGCGACAGGCCGACGACGATCCAGAGCCTAGTTCCTCGGAGGAGGAGGTGATGGAATTCTTTGAGCCCCTGCTCCGGGTCTTACAAGGAATCCCAATTCCTACGCTGTCCTCCTCGACTGACATATGGTCCTGGCTCCCTGCCCTGCAGAATCTGCTAGACCCAAAAAATCGGACCTCCATTCCTGGGCCAACAGCACAGCCAGAGAAGCCCATGGCTGACTCAACATCAGCACCTAAGACATCTGCTTCTCCCAGGGCAGCAGCACTGAAGCTGCCTGTCTCCATCCAGCCCGTGGTACCTAAAATCCCCTTCACTGCCCAGCCGCCTCGTCTGGAGCTCCCCGTCTCCATCCAGCCCCGGGCATCAGAGCTGGCTAGCTCTGTCCAGCCAGCCACAGATGAGCTGGTTTCATCTCCCGATGAAGAGAGCTGCTAATGGGGCAGGGAGTCAAGACTCCTGCATTCTATCCCCAGCTCTGGGAGAGGCCTTGGGGGGGGGGCGTCTAGTGGATTAGAGTGGGGGCAAGGGTGGGAGTCATAGAATCATAGAATCATAGAATATCAGGGTTGGAAGGGACCTCAGGAGGTCATCTAGCCCAACCCCCTGCTCCAAAGCAGGACCCATACCCAATTAAATCAGGACGCTTGGGTTCTTTCCCTACCTCTGATAGGGGATTGAGAGCTAGTTATTAGCCCCTGGTTCGGGTCTTACAAGAAATCTCAGCTCCTACAGTGCCCTCCCCAGAAGCCATATCGTCCTGGCTCCCTGCCCCACAGAATCTGCTAAAGCCAAGACTTCTGGGTTCCATCCCTAGCTTTGCCACTCCCGCCCCAGCCCATGCTCCGTGCCTCAGTTTCCCCCTTTAGTGACTCCCCGGTGCCTCTGAGCGCCCGGCCAGGATTTGCTGTGAGGCTGCTGTAGAACTAGTGCCGGTGCCTGAGGGTTTCCTGGGTACCAGCTCCTGAAATGTGCTCTCAATAAAAGACCTGAACCATAGACATGGCTCCTGTTGTTGCTATGGGTGAATCTGGGGCCAAACCAGCCTCCCCTGGAACCCAGCCTCTGGGGTGGGGGTGGGGGGGGGGCACCTGTCCCAGGGAGCTCTACCCGATGCCTGTTGTGCTGTAGCCTTACACCTGCAGGGACCCACTCTTGTGGGGTAGATGGGAGCTCCACCCGCCATTCACTCCTTGGCTCATCCGGCAGCTGCGATGGGGAGACCCCTCCCTCTAGGAAGGGGGAAGTCACCCGCTCCTTTAATACAAGCCAAGGACCCACGCTCGCTTACTGCTGAGCTGGGCTGGGCCGGGCCCACACTGGAGCTGGTGCTCCCTAGAGGGGCAAGGGCCCCTATTCCGTTCCCCAGCCCCCTACACCAGCCAGCCCCCCCTGCCTTGTTGCCAGATTGGACCTGCCATCCCCCTAGAGATGTGAAGAGCCCCATATCCTATTACACAATCCCTTGAGCCAGCCAGTCCCTCCAACCTGGGTCTGGACCAGGGCTGGCGTCCCCTAGAGATGGGTGTCCCCATTCTGCCACCCAGCCTGGCAAGTATCACTATTTCATAGGTTGCAGGTCTAAAATGAATAGGCAGCAGGTTTAAAACAAACAAAAGGAAGTATTTCTTCACACAATGCACGGTTAACCTGTGGAACTCATTGCCAGGGGATGTTGTGAAGGCCAAGACTATAAAAGGTTCAAAAATCAACTAGATAAGTTCCTGGAGGACAGGAATATCAATGGCTATTAGCAAA